GAGGTCACAAACCCGATCTTCTCCTACAGCAGGAGGGGTTTTGCGCTCCCGGTCCTCCTCATGCCATCCATCAACTCGGGAGGGGTGAGGAGAGTACTAGCCAGTTACAATAATTTGAATTTTTGTGCTTCAGTGGGATACAAGTGACAACGTATTTTCTAATACCAGTAAATGTGACATTACATATAAATTACTAGACAGTTCCAGCTATTAGTTTTACTCAAACACATTTTTTTCAGCAGAGGAACTGCAGTGTTATTAAAATAGCAGCGACGCCAGATCTTGTTAGCTGCTGCAAAACACTGAAAACTACTTCTTGACCTACAAACTCTTCTTTTCACAAGCAAAATTTTTATATAACCAGATGTTTGGGGTTTTCATGTGATTTTGTAGTCCCAAATAAATATTGGACTACTTTTCATGCAAGTGCAACTCTGAAGTCTTGTAGTCTTAATATATAATACTAGAGATACCAGTACTCACAGCTGTCTTGCTAGTGGTGAACATTGAGATTCCTTATTGGTAATAAGTACGTACTTCAAACAGACTCTCCAGCCTACAAATGAACTTCAGAAAAAAGGTTAGTATAAGGATATTTTCCTTTCAGCAACTACAGTATCTAAGGAATGGTTTAGCATAAAGCTTGACAACACACTGCTAAAACTTTTTGATGCATTGGAAAAAGGCCAGTAAAACTCATGTGACTGTAGCAAGCAATTTGAAATGCAGCAACAGATCTATACAGAAAATGAATACAACCATTCAAAGCACCAAAGCAGAAAAAGGCCTCTAAGCAAAGTTTCTATCCTGTAAGAGTCTATTCACTGCATTAATTAGCCAATGTTTTACAGTGAAATGCAAAGACAATCTACTGGTGTACTGACTGCACCTATTTTATAGTGCAGCTCTTCTTGTGCTGGTATCCCCATTAGCATTGTAAAGATACCTGGAATAGATGGAATTATGTTACTCAAAATCTTTCATAAAAAGATGAAACACATTGAGCAATTAAGATACAATGTAAAACAACTTCCCTTTATTTGCATTTCCTGATCTTGATCTTCATTGTACAAATAATCTGCTGTGCAAAATAGTTTATAAAATACTAAAAAAAAAGCTTTTATTGTAAAAAAATAAAGTTTCTAGATATACAGTTACTTTGCACTATCACAAATATTCTCCAGTATTTAACATTTAAATTTAGTATCACAATACTCAAGTCATGTAAACCAATGATCCTACTGGTAAGAAAGCCACTACTGAAACTCAGGTTCACTAGGCATTTGTTAAATATTTTCCTCTTTTCATATCTACACCCTTACACAATTCTGATGACCCATGCCTGAATTGCACCCATATCATGATATTAAACATCGGGCCACCCTTTCCTCCATTATCAGGTAAAGAACACCAAGTTATATGGTAAATTTAGTAAATGGTAAATTTTAGTAAATCCTGGCAACACACAAGCTACACAGTGCAGTCACAGAACAACAAAGGTCCTCGAAACTAGATCTGAGCTTTGCTGAGAAGCAGTGTAAAGGCAGCCTACACTAGGCTCTGGGCATGCGCATCTCAATTTCTACCAGTATCCAAGCTAGCTGGCTTAAAAACTAGCTCTGATCTCTCTATGCTGCAGTGCAATTGCAATCATTTTAGCATGAAATGCCTCTAAGACGCTTTGATACAGTCACCTGAGCCCTCATTGTTCCAATTCGCTTTCATTCTGCAAGGTCTTCATAGCTAAACCCCAGAGGGTCATGCTGGAGAAAAATGGTCCTTCATTATTCTTGTATGCAGCAGATGATGTTCGACTGCCCAGTGGATCATTACAATGACTGTCCAAGCTAACCATAGGGGAACGAATCATGTGAATGTTATCAGACTGTAAGGGTTCTTCTGCAGAAGATACATCTACATCTGCATAAGCATATGGTGGTGGTGGTGGAGTTTGTTGTGTCTGAGCTTTTGGGAGTTTAGCAGAATCCACATTCAGCTTCTGTTGGTTTGCTGAGTCATGGTGTTGAATCATTGATCGCAGCTTACAGTAAGAATCCGCAGAACTATCATATTCATTTGAATTTGCAGCTGGACGAATGGGGAATTTAACAGATACTGGTAACAATGTAACAGACATTTCTTGGCCAAAAGAGTCAGAACTCTGAGATTTGTCAAGATCAGAAGTTTCAATCCCTTGAGTAAATTCATCTAGTGTGTTTGGACCTTCATCAGTGGCTTTACAATGCATTTTCTTGTGCCGCCGTAGAACAGCAGAGCGAGTGAAGCATTTGTTACAAGTTTCACAGGTATAGGGTTTTTCTCCTGTATGAGTCCTCACATGTCTACGCAGGTCACCAGAGC